CCTGGAGCTCCCATACCCACCCTCCAGTATGCTCAACACTTCGTAATTCCTCAAGGGCTATCTCTCACTGCTGACTCCACGTAATTCTGGCTCCTCACTCAGGACCTCTCAATCTCTCCTGCAGGTCTCCAGGGTTCCAACGGTCCTTTCCACTCTCAGTGCCTCTCACTAGCCCCAAATATCCCTTTGTCCACCTCAGAGAGCCCTGGTGACCTTCAATAATTTCTGGGATACCAAGGAGGCTCCCAGAGGTCCCTGGTGTCCAAAAGGTTATTCAAGGGTCCTCGAGACTTTCCGACCTTCTCCACCTGGTCTCCACCATCTGTTTCTCCACGGCCTGCAATGATTCATCAGTGCTGATGGCTGTGGTGGCCACTGGAGGCTCCCAAAAGTGGTCTGTGGAAAGTGCATGGGACTTGGAGCCAGAGCCCCATGGGGCCGCTACCACAGCTCTCCTATTAACCAGCTCTGGGACCTTGGGCAGTTAACTCAACTTCGCTCAGCCCATTTCTTTATTGGTAGAATATGAACACCTTGCCAATCCACAAGGTGACTGACGGCAAGATAATACATAAGAAGGGACCCAGCATGATTTCCAGCACTGAGTGGGTCTTCAGTGTCTGTTGATTCCCTTTCTGGTGGCTCTCCATTCCAGGGCCAGCCAAGCACTTGTTCATTGAAGGCCCTGTTCTGTGGAGCACCCACTGTGTCACACCAGATGCCATCCTTGATAAGCAGGGTGTTACCTAAGCCCCTTTCTCTAAGAGGGAGGGGCTACCCTCACAGCTGGTGAAGTTGCACGAGGGCTTGTAAAATAGACCAGGGATGGGGAGATTTTAGTTTCTGCCATATTTGCTTAAAGACATTCTTCTGCCTCTACCTTTGCTTAGGCTGTTCCCTCCTCTCAAATGCTCTTCCCTGCCTGGTGAAATCTTCCTGTCCCTCAAGGTGCAGCTCAAGTTCCATATCCTTGGTTAGGTGGTTTGGTACCTGGGCTCTATTTAGAACCAGCAAACATTGGTTCAGCCCAGCTTCTCCACCTACCAGGAGGTCTATTTGATATCATTTTGGAGGCAAATTATTTAGTCTCTAAACTTTAGTTCCTCCATATGAGAAATGAATTAATAACACTTTCTTCTTAGATTTGTTGTAAGGCTCTGATGAGGTAATGCAGGTGTGACACCTGTAACATAATAGCTGCTCAGTAAATAGTCCTTTTCTTCTGCTTGGCACTCCCTGAGCACTCAGTCCTTGGCACATTCTGCCTGTAGTTTCTCATGGTTCTGACACGTCAGCTGACCTGGAGGCTCTGAGAAAAGTGCATGTGTATCTCCCGCAACATGGATTTTATCCAGAAGTGAGAGGCATAGAAGGCCAAGAGTTGGCAACAGATTGACTTGGCTCCCTAAAGGGTAGCAAGATGCCCAGGTCAAGGGCCCATTTGATTTTTAACAGTCTGAGAATATGCAGAGGGCTTCTAGGGGAATCTTGAGCCAGGTAGATTTCCTCCCTGGGTCTTATTTTCTTCGCCTTTCTCCCAATGGCTAAGCTGAAGCCCAGAAAAATGGACAGACTTGCCCAGAGCCACACCACAGAACTCAAGCTGGCTGGAAAAGGCTGAGACTAGGAAGGAAGAATGGCTTCTGCATGCATTTACCCCTGTCCAGAGGAGTGTGGACACCTGTCCTCTTGACCTAGAGGAGCAGGACATTCAAGGAAAAGGGGCGGTTCCACTTGTCTCATTATCCCTGGTTCTAGGTCCAGACATGGAGCATGATGGATACTCAGTAGAAGCCTGTTGAATACATAACCTTTTCCAAAATTTGCAGCTGTCAGCAGAAAGTGTCAGGTCTTTGGCGCCTGACTCCCATTTCCCCCCACCCCATCCAAAATCAGAGGAAAATCTAGGTCTGAAGTAGCCTTTGACTTCATTTCCAAGTAGCCTTTGACTTCACTTCCTCTGCTCTGGTTATTTGCAGTGCCTAATAGAGCTAGGCTGCAGAGCCCTGTCTGGCCAGCAGGGTCACCAGCACACACTGCAGCTTCCAGGGTCTACTGAGTAAAATAATGCCATAGGTTACCGATTCTATAAGCTTAAGCACCCGCCAATCAGATTTCCTGGGAATGAGGGAGACCCACATTTCTGTGACCCAGCCTCTTTGGGTCTTGATGCTTTGTACCACTTTGGACACGAGGAGGGAATAGTGGCAGACAGGTGATTGTACCAATCCCCACAGCTCTATGAAGTTATGAAATTCTCAGGGACCCTCTGGGGGTCAGAGATTTTCTGAACCTGGAACTCTGTGGGATGCCTTCCCTATGAGCAGATGTTACCATCTCAGAGTGCGAGAGGCCAAGACAGTTTCTGGTGGATTCCGAGATCAGGGATTTGAAGTAGAAGAGTCAACCACACAGGAACAAGCAGACGCTGCATGTAATGATCGTACTGTTCCATGGACTGGAAGGACAAAACATGCTTTGTTGTCCCAAGCAACTCTTTGGAAATCACAAATGCAGATTTAGAGATTTCTGCTCAAGTTCTAAGCAATGCTACACTTTTAGAGCCTGGGCACTACTGGTTCAGGATGATGATAACCAATGTGAATACAAAGCTCTACCAATCCTACTCAGAGCTCTTCATAATCTTCATAATCACCCCACAGGATCTTCATAATCACCCCAAGCTTGAAACAGGAGCTACTATCTTCTTTGTAGAGATGAGAAATTTGAGGCTGGCAAGGGCAGAGTGTGGAGCCCAAATCAGGACTCCATGCTTCCAACCTCAGGATGTCTTTCCACCCCACCTTGTCTGCCTCAGACATACAGGCCTCCCTAGCAGGTTGGGCCCATGAGCTTTGCGGCAGCCACTGTGGCCATGACGAGGCAGCTGCTGCCTTCTTTGCGGCTCACAGCATGAGACACAGAAAGGCAGAGTGATTAAGAGACCAGGCTTTGAGTTCAGATAGACCCAATTTCTCTGTGCCTCAACCTCCCCTATCTGTAAAGTGGGGGAAGTAATGTAAAATGGGGAGATGCCTGCTTTATGGGATTGTTTTGAAGAGTAAAGAGACGACTTCTATAGAGCACCTAGCACCCAGCAGACATTCAATGTATGCTGAGCACATGGAAGGAAGAAGAGTGGGCTCCTGAAACACCCCTGGCTGCTTCTAATTTATAATCCTGAGTTGAAACTACGACTTCCAAGGATGGAACCAAGAGGGTTTTGCAGATAAATCATGCATGTGATAAAACACAGGAAGGACAACTCAGTGAGACCACTCTGCTAGGAACCGCCACACACAGTTTGTTCATTCCTTTAATTTTTAAAAATGAGTAAGCAGACAATCGTGTGCCCTTTGAATACCCAATAAAAACGTTCATTATGTAAAACAGTACAACCTTTTTCATTTTTTAATAATTCTGTAAATATCTCAGAAAGGATGTATTGTTTCTAATGAATATCAAAAAAGTCACCACAATGACATTTCCCCTGCCCCCACGTTTCCCTCCCCGCCCTGCCCCAAGTTGCCCAAATACTAGTAGGAAATTACAAAAAACAAAGAGCAAAAGCCCTCCCTCCACCCTGCCCCATGAGTAGTGTTAAGTGAGTGAAATGTTAAGTGCCACAGGTACAGTGCAGTGCATCCCATCCCTAGTGAGGCTTCAGAGCTGTAGGTGGAGAACCGGTAGCAGCAGCAGTGGGGAGTCTCTCTCCCCGGCACCTGGTGGGAGAGAGTAGACGAGGACAGACACAGCAGAAGGCTCAGCATGAGGCCCGATCCTCCTGGGTCCACTTCCTGGGTCCGCCAGATCTGATAGCTCAGGGAGAGCCAGGCAGTCCTGGGCAGTGTGTGCAAAAGGGGGCCCAGAACCAGGCATCCCAGCCTACCTCAGAGAGGGCACTGGGCATCCCTTCTAACAAACTCAGGCTTCAGATGGGGGCTGGCCAGACCAGAGAAGCTGTCTGTTTGGAAAGCTTCGGATGAATCAAACATGTGGGTTCCCTACAGGAGACTAAGACCTTGGTTTAGAGTAAGCTCTGGTTTCCACCAAATAAAACTGGAGACATAAAGGAAAAGGATAAAGATTGTACCTTCCCAGTTCCCAAATAACTCAGAATCCAAGACAAAAGGCCAAGGAAATCCAATTAGAGAGAGAAGTCAGGTAGAGAGGTCTGAGGCAGCACTGGCCTCACCCCCACCACCCCAAGGCCTGCACAGAGGGAGGGGTGGGAGCCCAGTTCTCTCCTCCAGGATAAGGGCTGAGGCTTCTCAGCCCCCTGGTGAGAGGTGCATGTAGGATAGCTCCCCAAAAATGGGTAGGGAGAGAAGGTTCCGCTGGTGATAAGGAGGAGGATGGGGAGGACTAAGAGGTAGCAGGAAAGCAGGAGAGAGAAGAGGGCAGAGGATATAAGAGAGAGAAGAGGTGGCAGGCAGATGAAGAAGGGGCCAGAGGACAAAACCAGGCTCTAGGCCCTAATGGGGTTCTTTCCCCTGGAAAGCTGGTAGAAGGTCCTAGACACAGATCCTGACTGGGGCAGCAGCAACGGCAGGACAGACAGCTGCAAGGGAATAGCAGCTGCTTCCTGACCCCGAAAACTAGCATGCAGGTGACTCCAGTCAGCCCCAAGAAGATGGAGAGGCAGACAAGACAGGGAGAGCAGATGGACAGGACAGGAGGAGCCTTGTCACGGGGGCTGAGGACCTGGCCAGACTCCAGAGAATGGAGCCACTCACAGATGCATCAACCTAGAGTAAAGGGAAAATGCCACATCATTTCCATGACAAACTTGATTTTAAATAAGCAGGGGGAAGCCTTCAGAACAATTAAAGGTCAAGGTCAAGGTCAGGCCCGACAGCCAGCAAGACATAACAAGAGAATCCCCAAGAGACCTGGCCAGGTCAGGAAGGACCTCAGAGATCACTTGATTTGGCCCTCCCCATTTAGGAAATGGGAAAACTGAGGCCCAGGGAAGGGATGGGAGCACCCAAGGTCACTTAGTGGGATCAGGGCAGAAAGATCACTTTCTCTTCTCTGACACAGCCTTGCTGTCTGCAAACCCACTGCTAAGAGGTTGGGGATGGCAAAGGCAGGATTTGAAGGCAAAGCTGTCCCTGGGGGCATGAAGAGGGGCAGCTATAATGGTCAGGGAGGAACATGGGACATGGACAGGTCAGCTAAAAGGCTGACAGAGATCAGGCATCACTCCCACCCCACCTGCCCCACAGCCCAAGTATAAAAGTTTGACCATATGATACAACTTCTCCCTAACCCCTAGAAAACATTGGTTAAAACCGTCCTAGCACGGAAGACTCTGCTAGTCCCTGTACAGTATTATCTCTTCATAATGTTACTTACATGATAACTGGGGGCAAGGAGGGGAATGGGACTTTAAACCAGAGTGTACACGGCCACCTTAAAATTAACTTGTTAATAAATCCTGTGCAAAACAAGCAAGCCTCTATCATTAGGTGAAGTACGTGTCTCAGGTATTCATTTATACACACGGGGTCGGGGGAGGGAAGAAAGGAGAGGCATCCGAGGTGGCAGGTGTGGCTCAGAAGTGTGTCTCCTTCTCTGTGATGGCTGCAATGGTCCCATCGCCCTTGAATTTGGCGTCACAGTCATTAACCGTCACCGTCCGTGGGCCTGCCCCAAGCTTGCCCCGCATTTTCAGATCAGCACTGGGGATGGTCAACTTCCGGAATTTCTATGTGATTAGAAAGGAGAAGAACTGTCTGAGAGGGACTGCCAGGGTCCGGGTGCCTGGCTCGGCCTCTCCCAACTGCACGGGTGGATACCGTGGGCCACAGAACCATCAAGACCAAGGTCTGGGCCTCTGCACTGTTACTTAGAGCTCTGTTCTGCATAATGAACTGACCTCCCTGGTCTCAGTTTCCTCCTCTGGGAAATGGGAACAACAGAGGTACCCACTCCTGGGGTTTGCTGAGGAGTGAGGCGATGGCTTGCAGAAATGCTTAGCACTGTCCCTGGCCTACTGCAGGTGTAACTGGGGCTGACGGCCTCAGCTCTCCCTCCAGTGGAGAAAGCTGCTTGGCTTTGAATCTCTGCTTGGCCTCTCACTAGCTCTGTTAGGCAGCTCACCTAACCTCTAGGAGCTGCATTTTCCTCTTCTGTGGAATGGGAGAACAATACTAGCCTGAGAGGGGTGTTGCAGGAGTGAGCTACAGTACCTCTGGCCCTGTTTCTGTGATTGCCGGGCAAATGGGTATGCTTCCCACAAAGGCGATGTCATCATGGGGCCACTGTCTAGGGGAATATGTGTGTGCTGTGTGCTCCTTTTGCCATGCATGGAGATGGAAACATCAGCGCAGCCATGGTGGCCCCATGCTGCCTGGCAAAGTGGCCAACCTTGGGCTGGGCACAGATGGTGTGGCTGTCATCCCTACTGTACTAGGGAGGGAGCAGAGATCACAGGCAGACTCCTGACGCAGGCTTCTGCTGTCACAGTGCTGCCTGGGGCCCCACACCTCAGGTCCACGGACATTCTGCAGAATCCATCAGGGGAAGGCACTGGACCAGGACTTCGGAGGTCCTTTCTGGGCATAAACCCTTTCCCAGGAAGCCTGGAAAGACTTTTGGAGGTCTGATTTTTCATGACCAAGTTTCTGTCTTCTCTTTCAGATGCTGCCATGACTAAGAGGCTGAATCTACACAGCCCAGGTGGGATTACCAGGCCAAATCTCCCAGGCTGAACACTTTCTGTGTGCCAGGCACCACGCAGGAGAGGATTGAGAGCATGGGCTCCAGAGCTGGGTGCTTGGGTTTGAATTCCAGCTCTGTCACTTCACTGGGGCAAGAAACTTAACCTCTCTGAGCCTTGGTTTCCTCATCTGTCAAAGGAGAACAAGGGCACCTGCCTCTTGGGGTTAACACGAGGCTCAGATTAGTTGACCTTGCCACAGATTAGCACAGATTATCCATCTTCACAGCAGTTCTCTCAGGTAAGTACCACTGACCCCCTTTTTCCATCCAGATCCTTTCTTTCAGCTGGCAGAACCTTCTGGAAACAGAGGGAGGTGAATTAACTGGCACAAGTTTCCTCAGTAAGCAAGGCCTGGAAATCGGTTCTGCTGTCTTTAATAAACCTTGCTCTCTGTGGAGGCGGATGCGTGAGCTCAGGGAGATGGAAGAAGCTCAGAAAAGTAGCCTCTCTTTCCACCTGCCCACCCTACACTGGGCATTCCTGAAAACCAAGGGCCACTGGATGTCTGGGCAGTGGCCTGCAGGAACCAAGGACATGGTTTGGTTCCAGATCAGAACTGACTCCCCTTGACCTACATTCCCTGCAGGAGCCAAGGAAACTTTCCCAGGGGGTATGGGCACGCTTGAGGAAGAGACTTCTTCTCAGCTTGGTCCTTCGGGCTGGACATGTGGCTTTTTTCCTGGAGCTTTGGCCGTCCCGTGGGCAGGTGGGCTGGGTGAAGCCCTGAGCTAGCACTCATGTTTGGGTGTCTGCATACACACCCACTCCCATCTCCCTTTGGCCTTGTTCTGGGAGAAAAAGGTGCACCCCTGAGATCTCTGGAGGGTGGCCAGTCCGAGCAGAGGAAGGAGATAGCGAAACTCAGGTGACGAGAGCTCAGAGCTTCCGCTCTGCCATTCTGAGGCTGTGTGCCCTTAGACAAGTTGCTTCACTTCCCTGTGCTTCAGCTTCCTCCTCTGTGAAGTGGGGGCAGTAAGAGCCTCCACCTCACAGGACCGCTATAAGGGTTAAATGGCATCACCGCTGAAACAGAACAGTGTCTGGCACACAGCAGTTCGCTCAATGAGTGAGATACTGACTCAAACCATGTGACGTGCCAGCAGATGGGAAAGGAGAGTAAAGAGCCTGTGAGTGCTCTGGAGTAGGACGGTGCGGCTTACCACCCTGCCTGCCCCCAAGGGACAATACACGGCGCTGCTGACCGGCAACGTCCAAGCAGGCAAATCCACAGAGAAAGAGAGGAGATGGGTGGTGTCTGGGGCGGGGATGGGGTAAACTGAATGAGCATGAGGGGTCTTATTAGGGTGATGGACAATGTTTTAAAGCTGATTCATGGTGATGATTCTAATACACACAACACAGAAAGTTACAATAAAAATCATTGAATTGTATACACCAAATGGGTGAATCTTAAGATACGTTAAACATACTTTAATTGTTTTTAATAAAATTTGGCATCCGCTGTGGAAACTAGTATGAAATTCCATCAAAAAATTAAAAATAGAACTACTATACAATCCAGCAATTCCACTCCGGTATTTATCTGAGGGAAAGGAACACACTAACTCGACAAGGTATGTACACCTCCCCCACAACATTCACTGCAGCATTATTTACAACAGCCAAGAGGTGGAAACAGCCTTACTGTTCCTCAGTGGATGAAGGGATAAAGAGATTATGGTACATCTACACAATGGAATATGACTCAGCTGTAAAAAAGAAGGAAATCCTGCTGTCTGTGACAACACAGATGGACCTTAAGGGCATTACGCCAAGATAAGCCAGACAAGAACAAACACTTTATGATCTCACTTATATGTGGAACCTGAAAAAAAAAACAACACCCCCCCCCCCCAAACCCAACAAACAAACAATACCTACCTGAGCTCAAAGATACAAAGAACAGACTGGTGGTTGCCAGAGGTGGGTCGGGGGATGGGAGGTGAAATGGGTGAAGGGGCAGAAACGAACAGACTTCCAGTCAGGAAATAAAGAAGTCATGGGTATGTAATGCACAACACGGTGACTATGGATAATAATACTGTAATGTATATTTGAAAGTTGCTAAGATAATAGATCTCAAAAGTTCTCATCACAAGAAAAGAATTTTTAACTGTGCTGAGGGATGTTAACTGGACTTAGGGTGGTGATCATTTCACAACACATACAAATATTAGACCATTATGTTGTTACCTAAAACCAACATAATGCTTTATGTCAATTATATCGCAATTTAAAAAATTTGGTTTACTAAGTTTTGGCTGTGCAATGCGAATTTTTGGTTGAGCGATTTCATTTCTCTGAGCTTTAGTTTCAGGTTCTACCTGCTAAAGGCAGAAAATGAGGCCAGCACCCTGGTTTTCTCTGAGGACTACGGGAGATAACATGTAGAGAGTTTAGCATGGTGATGACAGGGGATAGGTGTTCCCTCAACATCAGACTTCCTCGCTTTATCCTGGGGATGGGGTCCTTCATGAACTAACAGAACAGTAAAAGCCAACGTTTTGTCACTCTGTTCCAGGTCCAGTTTAAGTACTTTCCTTCCATGAACTCATTGAGTCCTTATAAAAACCTCTGTAGGTCAGGAACTGCTGTTGTCCCCATTTTACAGATGAAGACACTCAGAGAAACTGGCTCACTCTCCAGGCCTCACAGAGATGACTTCACACCATGGTAAGAGTGAACACCTGCCAGGAAGGAGCTGGCCGTGGCTTCCCCAGGAGACACATGAGGGCTCATTCTTTATACACTCATTGCTCAGATAAGACCCATGGACTTGCTCCTGCTCTTCAGCCCACCTGAGGTAGAGCCAGGCCCTGCGTGTGCCTCAGCACCCTCAGAGCCATTCTTGCCACCCAGCCACCCCTCCTCCGACCTGGGCTGTCTCACCTCAGGCAGCGTCCCCTCTGTCTTCCATAGCTTGATGAAGATCCAGAGTGGGATGCAGAGCATGGAGGACAGGGCCATGAGCCAGCCGATGCTGTAGCCCCAGGTGGGGTAGGTGTAGATGTTGTTGTACTTAAGAGGCTTGTACTTGACCAGGAAGAAGATAAAGATGCCCTGCCAAGAGACGGGGAGAGGTCCCTGAGGGCTAGCCTTCGGTGACAGGCTCAGGCCCAGGCCTGCGTGCAGGAGGCCAGCGGGGTTAGGGGCCACCCCGTGTGGCAGTCCTGGACAGGCGAGGCCCTGTGCCAGCTCACATAAGGAATGGACTCTCACAGATCCCAGTAACTCAACAGGGCTGTGAGACCCTCCCACCCCAGGAGCCTTATCCCCAGCCTCTGCCCAGTAAGGAATTTTCTAGCTCCTTTTTGGGGCTGCTTTCAAAGTGGCCTTTGCAGAACCGTGATGGTTTGTGAAGATGTTCTGAGACACTTTCAGTGCCAAGAACTGGGTGAAGAACATGGGGCTGTGTTTATTAAATGTGAAGACCTCTCCAAGGTGTGGCTTTACCTCAGTTCTGTAGCTTTCTCTGTTAACAGCAAAGCTAAATATTGTCTCTCATATGATCCTTGGCCCTTATGGAGACAGGCCCCAGCCACTTAGCTTGCAGGTATAGAATCCGAGGCCTTGAGAAGGGAGGGGACTTGCTCATGGTCACACAGCAAGCTGGTGGCAGAGCTGGGATCCCAGGAAGGCCCCTCCCTGGCCAAGCCCAGAAACTGTCCCCACGACTGCCACTTAGAAAGCTGTCGGGTGCTGCGGACTCTCTGGAAGAACAGAGGGTCTCCCAGGGGGCCAGTCTCGGCCAGGCTTGTGGTGCTAGAAGGGGAGAGTGGGTGGCCAGCCTGGAGGCAGCTTCTGGCAGGGCCCTTACCGCGCAGATCCCGGGGGTCACAACCTTCCAGCACCATTTAATGAGCGACAATGGCCGGTAGCCAATCATGTCTTCGATGTTATCGTAGAAGCGATTGCTTCCTGTCCAGAATAAAACAAACAGGCACACACACCCCAGAGAATTTTTGTACAAGACTCAGAGGGAGGGCTAGGAGGGATTGCTTTCCCCAGCCCAACAGACAAATGACAGCAGGGACTTTATTTACCACTTAACAACTACCAAGATGTGAGTTTTCAGAATATACTGCAGTAGAAGGAATTCCGGACCAATGCTGGAAAGACCCTTCCTGACCTTGGTCAGTGAGGCCCAGGAAATAGTGCGTAAGGAAACATTTCTTGGAGAAAGGTCAAAGATGGTCCCTTTGAGAGGCAGGGCCAAGGCCTGGCTGACATACGTGGGGGCAGGGGACAGGGCTCTGAAGGGGACACCTGGCTGGGCTGCTAATGAGCGGGGCAGCTCACAGGGAGGCCTGTTCTCAAGCTATGCTCACAGTGGGAATAGCCATCATCACTGAGTCCAGCAATCCTCATCCACTCATTCAATTTAGGAAACAGGAGGACCAGAAGACAGGTGATCATGAGGGCCGGGCACCGTGCTGACGGCTTTGTCCACACTATCTCCTACCTGGAGACATGGGAGGACTACCCCATTTTACAGATGGAAAAAGTGAGGCTCAGAGGCTGAGGCACTGGCCCAAGGTCACAGTGCCTGAGTCTGGAACCCCTCCCTGTGTTGCAGGGGTATAAGAACAAGAAGCTCTCCTGACAAATGTGACAGGTTGATCCTCTGAGGGAAAGGAGGAAGGGTGGATACAGAAGGAGACCAGCGCAGAGAGCCCCAGGCGTCCATATGCTGGGCACCATGACAGGCTGCTGGTGTGTGGGTGGGCCAGGCCTCTACTTACCATACACCCAGCCGATGCAGACACACTCGAAGATGGCCACAAAGAGAAGGCACATCCCGCTGGCGGCGTAGGAGTCGAAGAGCTGGAAGATGTACATGCCGCCCTGCAGAGCAGGAGGACAGGTACGTGGACACGGGGATGCAAAGACACATGGTACAGCAGGTTGGCCAGCTGGCCTTGGAAAGGCCCTCTGCTTGGCCCTGGGGCTACCATCAGCCCAGGGTCACTTCCACCAGAGCAGACGGCTTCTTCCTAGTCTCCTCAAACAATACAGCCTTTGCATCTGGGCACCCCGAAGGTAGCACCCTCTGGGGTTGCTGGGCTTGCGAAGGTTTCTCTCGTCTCTGCTCCCTAAAGGCCAGAGACCACACAGAAAACCTGAGACTGGAGGCTGGGCAGCCTCGGCCCCTTTCCCTGATGGCTTTGACAGCCTCCCCACTGCTCTCCTTGCCTGGAGCCTCATCTCCTTCCCCACACATCTGCTTTCATTAGGACCTTTCTACTATGCAAATCCAATCATGTCACTCCACAGTTTAACACTACCCCTTGGCTCCTGTCAGCCTGCCAGTCAGAGCGGCCCTCTCGCTTGGCCTTGTCTCCCCCTCCTCCCAGCAGACCTCCCTATGCTTCCCCCTGACAGACTAAGGGATAGTCTCACCTCTGTGCCTTTGCATATGCTGTCCCTCCTTTATTTGGTAAGTGCCTTCACAGTTCAGCTCAAATATCACCTCTTCCAAGAAGCCCCTTTTGACAGACTTAATTTCTCTTCAGGCCTCTGCAGCACATTTTATGGATTCACAGTTTTTTAAAAAAATTTTCCCGTCAGGTGCTCTGTTAGCTCTGGGCTTCTGCTGGGGAGGCCCCCATATCGGTTCTCTTTGTATCTACTGCCAGTGTGAGAGGGAAAGGCCTCAGAGGCCAGATGACCAGGAAAATTTCTAGAAAGGAGGGATGGCATCTGGGCAGGAGAAGAGGGCAGCAGCTACAGCTCTCAGAAGGGTTTGGATCTATATAGGTAATCCTTACAATACATGACAGCCCTTAGGAGAACACAATCAACAGCAGGAGAAATAAAAGTGGAAAAGCGGAGGGTCAGGTTGGGGGAGGCATTGTGAATGTCAGGACAGGGAGGTAAGAGGCCAGGACAAAGCCTGGACAGCTTTGGAATTAATTTTTGGAATTAATTTTTTGGAATTAATTAATTTTTGGAATTAAGCTTTCAGCCAGTGCTCCCACGGCCTTTAGGGTCTCCTTCTACCCTCTGAGACCACACACAGGCTGGGACTATTTGTTTCCTCACTCATCTCTTTGGCTGGATCTGGGGCAGCATCTCGATGCCCAGAGGGCCAGACAGATGACATGAGGAAAAGAAGTGGGCCCGGTGTGTGACACCAGGAAATGGGGGGACTGGGGGTAACTGGAGAGCACAGGCCCCATGTGGCCACACAATGCCTTAAGAAAGTTGCTGGAGGGGACAAGTCTGGATGTGGCCAAATCTGCAGATTTTTCTAGAAGAGGCCAGAAATCAGATTTTCACAAGAAGTCCTTCTCAGTTGTTGGCAACCTCTTCATGTTCTTAAAAACACAGCAGGGGTGAAACAAAGGGGATCTCTGGAACATATCTGGTCTAGGGTCTCCTGTTGGTGCTAAATGTGGTGGATATTCAGGGCTATGAGAGTGAGAAGCAGGTCTGAGGCTCCTCTGTGGCTAGGAATGTGCTCAGCTTTCTGAGTTAACAGCTCAGACCATGCTCCTAACTGCTCTCCGGAATGTCTTCTCCCATGAACATCATGTATACAGATGCAGCCCTCTCCAAGTACGGGGCTCTGACTGAACTGCTTCCCATGTCTCAGTCTGCCAGATCCCTACAATGTGTGTAATTACAAGGAGGGCATAACTGCTGTCCTCAAGTCTTGATAGGAGAAACTGACGCACAGAGGAGCAAGAATGCTCATGGTGCGTCGTCCAGCTAGCCAGCCGTGGGACTCCTAGGCTTGAAGGCTTGAACCTAGGTGGTACGGCTGCATAGCCCATGCTCTTAATTCTCCACCACACCGCCGTGGTGGAGGGTAAGAAATCTGTGGCCTATTTTTTCCCTAAAGCCACACTTTAAATGTGTGTAAATGAGGGATAAGATCCTGCCAGCAATTACTGTGAAGGCTGAAGCCCACATGGCCCATTTGGCAATCTGAACTTCCCTGCTGCAATCACTCACAGATATTCCTGCATGGAGGCGGAGGGCTGGCATGTGAAGCCCAAGTGTGTGCTGATTAACAGTCAGCACAGCGCTATTTCCCTGATGGGCCCCAGGGGCCGTGAGGCACCCCTGGGCAGACCCGTGGCCTCGGGTTGAAGAGTGGGCGTGGAGGCTCTGCAAGGCGGGGGGCACTGGGGTTGGAGGTCCAGGAGGGTCCTCTACCTGTCTGCTCCAAGCCAGTGACACCCACGCCAATGCCCGCTCTTCTTGTAGCTCCGTTCCCATCAGCCTTGTTAACATATCACATTAACCCCCCAATTTGTATGTGACAAAGACTCTACTTTGTGTAATTAATCAGCACTTAATGAAGCCCTGCTCATTGCAGGGCTGCTTTCCCCATGTGGGGAGAGCAGAGATGGAAACGGGAAGTGCCACACCATTCATTTGCTCAAAGCTGATTATCATTCCCATTAATGTGACAATGACTAGGAGCAGTAATAACACCAGCCACCACACCCTCAGTGTCCACCCCCTGCCAGGCCCCAAGGGCACAGAGACAGTGAAGGCCAGCTGTTGTCTTCATAGACCTCGGGGCCTGGATGCAGAGAGACAGGTGAACACAGTGGTCATTCTAAGGTGGGAGAAAGGCTGGGCCAAGCCTGGAGCTACGTGCTTGAGGAAGGAAAGCAGAGGAGTCTTTCAGGAGGCAGCCTCTGAGCTAAGAAGCAGAGGATCCACAGACCAACCTCAACGTCACCTCAGTTGCTTCAATGGACTAGAGTTCCCTCATTTCTTTCCATGTTTCTCTCAAAACCTCTTCTTGTCTCTAGGCAACAGTTTTCTGTGTGTGCGTGCGCACGCACGTGTGCGTGTGTGCGTGTGTTTTAATTAGTTTTGTCAGTGTGGGGAGAAAGATCTCTCATCCCACCTTCCCAAGGTACTTGAAAAGATATTTATTAGACAGGATGGTTGCGGGGGCGGGGGGGAGAAACATGGTATCATGAGAGTCTTAATGTGGGGGGTCATGGTGAACACTTCCTCACTCACAGGCCCAGCAGAGATGAGAGACAAGGGGCCTGAGGTGCCAAATGTCCTCATGCACGTCTGTTTTCACGGAAATTCCAGAAGAGCCTGCACTGAACTTCAGCCCAAGAGCAGTACCTGGTTGAGGGGTCTGTGGCTGACACTGTCCCTTTCACCCAAAAGTACTGTAAGTGTGGATAATGACCATATAACCCCAGTCTTTCTCTTTGTGAGTTTTACTCCCCTATAGTAGTGACCACGGTGACTGTTAGCTAAGCTTTCACACACGTGAAGATGTTATGCTTAGGGCTCAATGAGAACTTCCAGGGATCTCTACAAAGAGGAGAAAATGAGTCCTAGAGAAATGCTAGACCTGGCTGGGGTCACACGACCAATCCCAGAGCTGGAATTTGACATCAGACCTGCCTAACCTAGAGCCCAGCACTTAACCTTTAAGTTACCATGTTCACATTTTTTCCATGTCACTCACCTCTGTGAGCATCACAAGGCCCAGAAAATAGGAGACGATGGACAGGGCCAGGATGAGCAGCTCCCGCCGGTAACCCCTCCGGAAGACCTTGGGGTACATGTCTACCACAGCGGTCACGAGGCTTTCCACACACACAAACTGCAGAAAGCAGATAGGATGGCATCAAGCCTGAGAGAAAGTCTGTTCTTAGTGGTCCCAGCTCTGGACAAGTGCAACAGACCTAACCCCCGGGCTTCCCTCTCACTGGGCCTTATCCTCCTTTCCACACTCACACAGACAGAGGGCCTGAGAATAGTAACAATCCAGGCACTTAAAATTTTCCAGCAAACCCACGTAACAGATGAGAACACTGAGGCTCAGTGAGGGGAAGTAACCCACCCAAGGTTGCTCAGACAGGAGTGGAAGAGTCAGAACTTCAATTGGGTACTCCTGACTCTGGAAGCTAGTACTCCTTCTCCCCCATGCTTCCTGTCATGTGCCTGTGTGCTGGGCCCTGTTCTGGGGTCAACCACTTAAATGAGACGCTGTCTGGGAGGTGAGATGGGAGTCTCCATAACTGTCCTGAGAGCTGAGTGCTTGCTAGTGGCAGGCTCTGGTCAGTCTCTGTGAGCAGGGCTGGATTTCCTCATTCTCTAGGACTGTGATAGTTCTCCTGTCCTTCGCTTCTGGAAAGCTCCCCATCTGATGGGTGGAGAGCAATCAGAGGTGAGCCAACGCCCAGCTCTTACATTTCTGCTATGGGACTCTCTGGGCCTAGCCAGACCATGCAGGCTTAAGACAGCAGAACTTGTGCCACTAAGTGTCTGCATCCCACCATGCTGAGACTGGGCAAGACATACAGTATCCATTCTATTCCTGCTCACCCATCAACAGCCAGCCCAAATATCCCAGCACACCCATCGACCCCTTGCTGGGTTTTCCCAGCACTGTTGATCACAGATCTCCTGCATAAGCCTTTCCCCAACTGCTCCTCCTTGCCCCGAACTTGGGCAGAACAGACCCTTCCTCTCCTCTATACCCAGCCAACCCCCAAACTCACCCCATGGTGCCCATTGAGCTTACAGCTATCTCCTTATAAGCTGGGACCCTGGAGCGCAGGGACCATGCATGCCATTTTCATCTATTCCCAGTGGCACAGAGAAGATGCTCAGAAAAGTTTTGATAAATCAATAAAAATAATAATAAATAATGGTGAATACATGGTGCTTGTTGTGAGCCAGGCTCTTTTCTGAGCAGCTAACAGATATTCGTTTATTTGATCTCTGTAGTACTATTATCATCCCTGTTTTGTAAATGATGATGTGGAAGCATACGAGGTAAGCCACCTGCCCGAGAGCACAGAGGTGTTCAGAGATACAGCCTGGGTAGGGACCAAGGCAATCTTGTTCCAGAGACTGGACTTTAACCACTGTGCTGGACTGCCACGGTGAAGAGAAGTAAAAAAAGCAAAGGATTCCTTTGCTGATTGCAGTGTGGAGACATTTCCTCCCCTGGAGCCATTTTTTAGCCCCAAATCCTTTCCAATTCATTTCTACCTCCTCAGGAAAGATATTTCCAGCTTTACTGAGCAAAGGGACCAAGCACAGAGAGGTGAAGTGATTGGCCCAGAAGAGCACAGCTGGTAAAAGTTGTGGATCTGAGACTCAAACCCAGCCCTGTCTGACTCCAAAGCCCAGGCTCCCAGCCTCCAGGCTACCCTGTCTCTACTGCAAGGCTGTCTTCAGTTCTTCTTTCTCCAGGGTCCTCAGGGAAAGGAAGAATTCAGGGAAGGCTGTTTATCCAGGACCCAAACTGAAGAGACAGCAGAGCATGCGGGCTAAGAGGTACAAAAACCTGAGTCCATGTTCTAGCAACTCACTCAGCCTCAGTTTCTTCATCTGCAAAATGGGGATGACAAAAGGGGCCCCCCAGTCCATGTAGCTACTGTGACAGAGAAAGGAGGGTGTGGCCCAGGCTCGGCAAGTGCAGCACACGTGTGGCCACCTGCCCACTTGGCCCCTTGCTAACTTCAGTCTGCCACTTCAGTCCCCCTTGCTAACACAGCATCTTGGCTCAAGTGCTCAACATCCCCAGGGACTCATAGAACCAAGGCCCCAGCCCCCATCTCCCTATGCAGGATGGTCACTGTCACGCACAAGCTGCCAATCCTTCCCAAGGCCTCTGCCCACAACAATGGAAGAGAAGATTATCAGCAGAAACACCTGGTGCTTTAGCAGCTCGGCTCAGCAGTTTCTGAGAAATCACCCAGGGGAAGAAATTGGACTTGGCTGGGTTGACAGACATACTGGTATGAGGTTTGGGTGCTAAGTGACTAGCACAAGGTCACGGGTAGAGGAGAGAGAGAGAGGTGCTGGGTGGAGCTCGGTCCCTCATTCAATTGTTACTTTAATCCGTCATATATCCAGTGCCTTTGTGCCAGGACAGCTTTAGGTGGAAGACATTCACTGGGGCTCTTAGAGAAACCCACCATGCTGGAATAGCAGGAAATAGGGTAGATTTCGGAGAGTGGTGAGTGACCGGAGGCCACAGGCATCTGGCTGGAAAATCCAGAAGAGCACTGGAGGAGGGCTGGGAGGGCAGGCAGAGGTGAGTTTTACAGTGTGAGAAGATGAAGGGCATGAATTCACAGGGAGATAAAAGGAAAATGTACGCAGATAAATTGCTAGTTCTAACTATACACCCTTTGCTGAGGAAGGCAGGCTGCCAAGAGGAGGGTGGGTGGGGAGAGCCGGATCAGCAACAATGAGAAGGAAGAGAGCAGGCCGGTGGGAGAAGGGGCACTGGGGAGCGGACGGTGGTGCTGAGGACCCATGTGGCCACCTGGAGCGTGTCGGGGGGCATAACAGAGACGGAGGAAGGAAGGAGAGGGTACTTTTCTGTGCTCCTGTGTCCCCTGCGATTTGCCTGGGACAGGGACACGTGGTGGTAGAGCTCTTGGATACCATTAACCATTGACCTCTCTCTGAGAATTTCTTCTGCTTGCTAGGTGGTGCTATTGCACAGAATTATTTTCACAGGATGCAAGAATTTAGCAATTTTTTAAGACTTGGATTGGGAGTTGAGAATTTCAGGTAAGGAAAAGTATGTTTGGGAAGCTGTGGAAGGAGCCATACAGTTGTGTCTGAGGGTGACCGTGGAGATCACGGTGTGCTAAGAGGAGAGGAGGGTGGGAACAGTGGGCGGGGCCCAGACAACCAGCCCTGAGGTGTGGGTTAAGTCCCTGAGCTGCTCCTGAGAGTAGCATGTGGTCTCCCTGCCCTCCCAGCCTGGGATCCCCCCTTACCTGGCTGTCCAGGCCCAGGAAGATGAGCATCATGAAGAACAAAGTGGCCCACAGTGGGGAGAGAGGCATCATGGTGACAGCCTTGGGGTAAGCGATAAAGGCCAGGCCAGGGCCTGGAGAGGAAGGAGAGAGAGAGAGGTTCTGGGTGGAGCTCGGTCCCTCATTCAACTGTTACTTTAATCCGTCATATATCCAGTGCCTTTGTGCCAGGTGCTATGCCTAATTCTCCCTCAAATCACGTAAATCTCCCAGCCACCCTATGCATTTGGTACTATTATGATGCCCATGGTGGGTATGAGCCAGCTGAGGCACGGAGAGGTGAGAAAGGGTTAGGAGGGGCCAGGATTTAAACCCAGGCTTGTCTGACACACAGACTTCCCTCTGCACAGTCTTGTCTCTATTGTTCTCACTAGGGCACATATACAATGCAGATCTCAGGCCCACCCCAGAGACTGGGTCAGTCTAAGGTGAGGCAAGGACCAGGCACCAGGTGATTCCAATGCAGGAGCCGGAGTCCAGGCTTGGACAAAAGCTGTTCTACCCTAGGCCACCTCTGCCTTTGGTTCCTCCCCTCATTTCCCAGATCCACACTCACTTATTTTGGCTGCTCCAAAGAGAAAGCGTGGTTAGCATGTCCTGAGGATAAGATTTATTAATTTTTTATTAATATCAGGGGAGAGATACCTGATGTTCTAGCCCTGTAGCACAGTGGTCAAGAGCACAGGTTCTGCAGTCAGATGGCCTGGGTTCAAATCCTTGTTCTTTACTGGGATCTCTATCTGTTTCCTCAGCTGAAAAATGGGGATAATAAAGTCCTACCTAATAAAGTGGTTTTGAGAATTCAATAAGATGATGCAGAATATGGAAAGCACTTAAAGTAAATGTTCAATAAACATTAACTCTGATCATTAATTTTTTTACCTTAATTAAAAGCAACCTTATTAAAACATAATTTACCTACAATAAGCACTCATTTTAAGTGTACATTTCAATGAGTTTTGAAGTATACCCAGATAACTGCATTCAAGATATGGAACATTCCTATTGTCCCCTTGGGCTCCTCTGTATTCTCTCTCTCCCCATTCCCTGTCTTAGCTCCAGATAACCACTGATCTGATTTTTTTTCACCTCATATTAGCTTTGCCCATCTTATTTAGGAGTGGAATTGCTGGGTCATTTGGTAACATATGTTTAACTTTCTGAGAAATGCCAAATTGATTTCCTAAGTCACTGTCGTTTTACATTTCTATCAGCAATGTTTGAGGGTTCCAGTGGCTCCACATCTGTGCCAAAACTTGATATTATCAGATGTGGAGTTCACTTCACATATCTTTGTTGACCATTCATAGATCTTTTGCAAAGTGCTTGTTGAGTCAGCCCATTTTGTATTGGGTTTCCCCTTTTTTTTACTGAGTTGTGGGAATTCTTGGTATTATTTGGGATACAAATCCATTATCAGAGAAGTGTTATTAATATTTTCCCCTACTCTGTGGCTTGCCTTGTCATTTTCTTAATGGTACCTTGTGAAGAGCAGAAGTTTTTAATTTTCCACTTGTTTGTTGCTAGCATATAAAAAATAGAATAGACTTCTGTTTCTTGTCCTTTTATCTTGTGACAACACTAAGTTCACTTAATTTTTGTATGATTTTCTAATTGGTCAATCATGCTCATGCATAAATACAGTTTTTATTCTTCCTTTCTAATCTTAATGATTTTTATTTATTTTTCTTACTTTATTGCACTCTCTAAGAACTCTAGAACCATATGGAATAAAAAGAGAAACAGCATACACTCTGGTTTTGTTTCTATTTGAGGGGAAAGCATTTAATATTTAATGTCCAGATTAACATTTGTACAATACTATTGATTAAACTACAGACCTTTTTCATTATCTACCAGTTTTTCTCCTTATGTCCTTTTTTCCTGTCTTAGTATCCCAATTCAGGATTCCACACTGCACTTCAGAGATATATTTATTTACTCTCCTCTAATCTGCAACAGTTCCTCAGCCTTGTCTTTTATAACCTTGATATTTTTGGTGAGTACTGGTCATTCTTTTGCAGAATGTTCCTCGGTATGGATTTGTCTGATGTTTTCTCATTATCAAACATTATTACATTTTTGGGGAGCAAGGACATCATAGAAGTGATGCTGTGTCCTTCTCAGTGCATTATATTGGGAGGGGTACATGATATCCATAAACTGTATTATTGGTGAAGCTCACCTTGATTACTTGGTTAAGTTGGTTAATACCAGTTTTCTCCACTGTAAAGTTACTGTGTTTCTCAAAGTGATAAATATCTTGGGGAGGATACTTTGAGATTATGAAAATATCCTGTTTCAAGTCAAACTTATACCCACAGATTTTAGCATCCATTGGTAGATCTTCCTTGCAACAATTATTCCTGCGGTGTTTGCCTCACAGGTTTCTATTATTTTCATTCCTTCTATATTTTATTAGTTAGAATTATTCTGTAAGAAAGAACTATCCCTTCACACTCATTTATTTATTCAATTTTTACTTATTTCAGTATGGACTCCTGGGTATTCGGTTTATTCTATGGATCACAATCCAATACTATATTTATTCTGCTATTCAAGTTGTTCTAGGTTTTGCTACTAGGAGCTTCTTCAAGTTGGTGCCTATGTCCTTTTGACATACCTTCATCCTTTTTCTGAGCACTTCCTTATTTCTGGTACCACTAAATATTCCAGCTTCATCATGTCTTGCCCTGGCACTGGAATCAACTGCTTCTCCAAGAAGCCCTGGTTCCTTTCATGGAAAGTGGTGTTCAGAAACCAAGATATGGCTTCCGGTATGTTCATTGCAGCTAGGGTACCACTTCTTGCAGCACACAAAGCTAGGAGACCTAAGTATGTATATCTACACATACATACACATATATATTTCTATATCCATCTGTGTGTATATTAAACACATGAGTCTCCTGATACCTCAAATTCTAATACAGTTCATTGTAGATTCTCCACTTTCCTCATTTGTAACTTCTTTCTTAGTGTAAAATCTGTCCCCAATGATTTATATTCACTTGTTTGTTCAATCCTCATATACACATACAATAGTTACGGAATTACAAAACCATATCCCTGTACAAACAAGAGAATAGTACAATAATTTTTGGTTTTAGCCTTATAATGTACAGTCAAAATACTGTTTCCTGAAATTTACTTAGGTTAAGTCTTTTCTTTCCCATTCTCTTCAGTGTGGTTACATTTTCATTCGTAATACAGTTAGGCTCATTTCTTACTGTTTGTATTCCCTTTTAATTCCACCCACAAAAAAGAACTGTTTATTTTGGGTGCTATGTGAAAAACTACTATTACCATGGTTCTCTAAGAGTCAGAGGTATTGAAAATATATTAAGAGAAGTATTGTTTCCTTCTCATCCTTACTTAATTCCACCCTTCCTTCTATCCCTTGTCCACTTATCCCCTGTAGGTAACCCTTGTCTTTATTTTCTAGTTCATCCTTTACATATTTCTTCTGCAGAGATGAGCAGACATGCTTTCTTATATCTCTTTTCTTATACAATGGGTAGGTTACTATAGTTATTTGCTTTTTAAACTTACACACACACATTTACCATTTAAAAAATACACTTCAATATCCATTTACTTGATTATTTTTGTATTGTGATGAATGTTGAATTTTTTTCAAAGACTTTTTTTGTATCTGTGAAGATAATTTTGTAATTTATTTCATTTGGGCTATTAATATGTTGTACACTATTAGTAGATTTCCTAGCATTAAATCAGTCTTGCATTAGTCCAGGAGTAAATCCAAATTAGACAAGGTATATTACCTTCTTAATGTGATTTTGGATTCTAATATTTTCGATTTGGGTTTCCTATTATTTTATTTATTATTTTCCATCAATATGCATGAGTAATATTTTGTTTCTTTGCCTTATTTGGTGTAGGTATAAGTGTTACACATACCTCATATAAGGGGTTGAGAAGTTTTCCTTCCCTTTCAATGCTCTGCAATAATTTATATAGACTGGGATTATCAGGTCCTTGAAGGTTTGATAGAATTATCTGAAAAATCATCTGGACCTAGTGTTGTTTTTGTTTTTTGTTTTGTTTTGTTGTGGAGTAGTTCCTCAAAGACTTTGTCTATTGTCTTGTTTAAGCTTTCTAAATCAAATGCAGTCAGTTGTGGCAATCTAGTTTCCTAGGAAAGTATTCATTTCATCTAAGTTTTCAAATTTATGTGTAGAGAAGACTACAAAGCAGTCTCTTGTGATTTTAAAAAATGTCTTCTGCTTCAATGGTTATTTATCCTTTATTATTTTTTATTTCGCTATTTGTATGTTCTTTTTTTTTTTCTTGGCAATTTGGTAATTTGTATATTTTTATTTTTAAAGACCCAGAATTTTAATTTGTTAATTAGATCTGCTATTTCTCTATAATTATTTCATACATTCTTGCTCTTTATTATTTCCTTCCTCATGTTTTCTTTTGGTCCACTTTGTTGTTGTTTTTCTGAACAAGGGATATAATTCATTTATTTTCATTTTTATTGATAAATGTGGTTAGTATAGTTTTCTCATATTAGTTTATTTCTACCTATATCTCCTTACTTACTTACTTCCTGAAATTTTACTTCATAAAGGTTATTGCTGTATTATTTTGTGCACATATTTTTATGTGTTACATGTAGCTTCTACCATTAAAAAAATGTCCTTTGTAGTGCTTAGTGCTTTGGGGCTTGAATTCTACTTTGACTGATATGAGGATTGCTATCATTGTCTACCCCTTTATTTTTAGTCTTTATGAGTCTACTTTGTTTTAGGTGTGTCTCTTATATACGCAGCATATATATAGGTCATATTTTGTGAGGCAAACTGAAAACCTTTTTCTTTTAATAGATGAGTTAAGCCCATTCACATTTATCAATAAGACCGATATTTTGACAAAATATTTTATGGTTATGTGTATTTTAAAATATTTATTATGCTTCTCTATGAGTGGTGTATTCTTTGTTCTTTTATTTGTAAATATTTTTTGGTACTTAGGAAGGTTTATGTTTTTGTTCTAGTGGTTACCTTTATATTTGCATCTTTTAAAAAGGCCTTTAAACCCTTATTTT